AGCCAAGAGGAGACTGGTTTTCCTTTGCTAAAGTAAGGACACTTTGCTTCCTTTGCTCCTGTAAACAAACGTTGGTTTTCACGAGATTCACCGGCGCACACGCAACGCTGACCTCATACGTCATCAGCCTGGAGCTGCTTCTGTGTAGGACTGTTGGCACAAGCTACATTAAAGTGATTATTACTTTTTAAATATGGATATTTTTCTTACAAAAACACATTGATTCACTACAGGAGGCCTTTGTTCACCCCCCGGAGCCATGTGAGACACTTTTTTTTTTTATTGGATGGGTGCTTTTTTATTTAACTTCTTTTGGATTGATGCGTGCAACACCCGCTGAGTGGCATTAAACCGCTTGAAAGATCAAAGACCATTTTTAATATAACTCCGACTGGATTCATCTGAAAGAAGAAAGTCATATACACCTAGGATGCCTCGGGGGTGAGTAATTTATGGACTAATTTTCATTTTTGGGTGAACTAACCCTTTAAGTGTGTATTAATATATATGCCATATCTGTGAAAGGAATAAATGTACATGCGACAGTGTTTTAACATTGAAAACATCACTGAAGCTGGTACCTGTGTGTGTGTGTGTGTGTGTGTGTGTGTGTGTGTGTGTGTGTGTGTGTGTGTGTGTGTGTGTGCGTGCAGGACGTGGTGGTGGTGGGTGAGGAGAACTTTACCACTCCCTGCTATATTCAGATGGATGAGGAAGCGTGTCACATCCTGACGGAGACGCTGGGCACGTACTGTCTGGGGGGTCAGTCGGTCAGCGCCGCCGCCACCAAGAGACTCAAGCTGGCCATCTTCGGCCCGGTCAGCTGCACCATCCTGGAGTACAACATCAGAGTCTACTGTCTGGACGATATGCAGGACGCGCTCAAGGTCAGCAGACCCTCGAAGCAGTTCAACTGAACACCACTCTGGTCACATTGTGTCGCGCACGCAGCTTTACAGCACAGTCACTCTTTCATAAACTGTCCTGTCATATGACACATTAGGAAGATTCATTTGAGTGAATCACTTCATTCAGGTGATTCATGTTAAAGGACCACTTCAGAAATGATTCAGTGATTCATTTGATTCCCTCTGCTTAATTAAAGGATTAGTTCACTTCCAGAATGAAAATTGTCATCATTTACTCACCCTCCACTTGTTCCAAACCTGTATGAGCTTCATTCTTCTGTTGAACAGAAAAGGGCTCAGAGAAATCATATTCATATCATTCTTTATATTCAGATGCGTACTGACTCCTACACTACATCTGCTGCTGACGCCCACACACACACACACACACACACACACACACACTAACTCACACAGACACACACACTAACACACACAGACACACACTAACTCACACAGACACACACACTAACACACACACACACTCACTCACACACACTATCACACACACACACACACACAGACACACCCTAACTCAAAATTGCCAGTAGTTTTCTGTGAGGGCTAGATTTAGGTGTAGGGTTGGAGTAGGGCGATAGAAAAAACAGTTTGTACAGTATACAAACCTTTATGCCATCATGTTAGGAATACGAGTGTGTATTTGTGTGTGTGTGTGTGTGTGTGTGTGTGTGTGTGTGTGTGTGTGTGTGTGTGTGTGTGGGCGTCAGCAGCAGATGTAGTGTAGGTGTCAGCAGGCAACTGAATATAAAGAATGATATGAATATGATTTCTCTGAGCCCTGGACGCATGAACCCGCCGCACGTCCCACTAAAGCGCAGACTGAGTGTGAGCTGACGTGTGTGTTCCTGCTGAGCGCTGACGGACGTCCTGTGTGTGTGTGTGTGTGTGTCCGTCAGGAGGTGCTTCAGATGGAGAAGCAGATGGGCGGGAAGCTGCTGGATGAGCCCAAGTCTCTGAACTTCAAGGACAGCACACACAACCTGCGTCTGTCGCTGCACGACGTCCCACACACTCTCTGGAAGAGCAAACTCATCGCCAAATACCAGGTACTCACAGATTCTCCAGAATAGAAATGAGCGTTTTACCATCTGACTTTATAATGCAGTTGATGCCAGTCATGCAAAACATATTATAATATTATAAAACATAGTATAGCACATACTAGTTTATTATAGTGTATACTTTGTGTGTGTTTCCATTATAATTATATTACAGTATATGTAATAAAATATAAATTACAGAATTCATTATATAATTACTTTTAAACAAAATATATATTATTTTTTTATTTTAAAAATATAGAATGAATTCTATAATTGAAATATTTTATATTATTATTACACCATATTATATCAAAATTATTATTATTATTATATAAACAACTGTTTGATAATGTAATATAAATAATGTACTACAAGAATAAAAATAAATTACAGTGTTATTATTGTTTATTATAATTTGTAAGGCATATATAGACTTGGCATTTATAATAAATGTTGTATGTAATGAATGCCAATATAATTTATGTTTGGTTGTATACTCATATTTTCATTCCTGCTCTGTTCTGAAAACTGTTCAATTTAAAGGATTTGTTATGGAGTGAGAGGAACTAAAATACAAGTTTTTAGTGATTAGAATGGTTATTAAAGAAATAAACATTTAGTTTTATTTACCGGTGATTTACATTATTTTTAAGTGTAATAGATGAGTTGCATCAGTGTCATTAAAACAAACAACCAAAAAATGAAAATAAAATCTGTTGAAAATATGAAATAAAATGCAAAAATTTAAATAAAATAAAACTTAGAAATGCATATGCCATATAAAAAGTCACACTTTATTATTATTATTAATATTATTTAATTTTATTGAAATGCAACTTTGACCTGGTGAAACTTCTTTTTCTGTAAAATAGTTAATATTAATATTGTATGTATTATTTGCTTAAATGCTGCTGTTCATCACTATTTTCAACTTTTTAAACTTATTTAATTTTTGTTATTCAATTTATCCTATAATTTAACAAAATGTAGTATATGTATGTGTCATTAAAAAAAATAAAATAATAAAAAACCTGAAAAAAAAAGAAAAGCTTTTGAAAAACTGCCCAGTGCAGCTTATATTTTTTGGAGATAGCATGGAATATATTAACAGGTTTGGGGGGTCAAGTCACGCCTTTGCTCCAGTATCTACTCGTGTTATTTTTGTGCTAGTGCTGATGATGTCTCTCTGTGTGTGTGTGTGTGTGTGTGTGTGTGTGTGTCTGCGTCTGCGTCTGCGTCTGCGTCTGTGTGTTCGTGTGTTCGTGTGTCCGTCTGTGTGTGTGTGTGTGTGTCTGTCTGTGTCTGTGTCTGCGTCTGCGTCTGCGTCTGTGTATTCGTGTGTTCGTGTGTCCGTCTGTGTGTCCATGTCCGTGTGTGTCTGTGTGTGTGTGGCAGGAGCTGGCATTCCAGCAGGTGTGGAGTGGCTCTCAGAGGAACCTGCACTGCACCTTCACTCTGGAGCGCTTCAGCGCCGCCACACTCGAGCTCTCCTGCAAGCTGTGTGTGCGACAGGTGGAGGGAGAAGGACAGATATTCCAGCTCAACAGCACACTATCTGAGGTCAGTCGCTCAAACACAGCACTCAGACACACTTACATAAAACATCACCGCAAGAGAAATGCACAAACACACTTCACTACCAAACAAGTCAAGTCACCTTTATTTATATAGCGCTTTTAACAACACAGATTGTGTCAAAGCAACTGTACAGCATTAATTAGGAAAATAGTGTGTCATTAATGCAAAATGACAATGGTAAACACTCAATTTTCAGTTAAAGACAGTTCATCATTGAATTCAGTGACGTCATCATCCAGCTCAGTTCAGTTTAAATAGTATCTGTGCAATCAAGTCGACGATATCGCTGGATATTAAGTGTCCCCAACTAAGCAAGCCAGAGGAACCAAAACTCCATCGGTGACAGAATGGAGAAAAAACCTTGTGAGAAACCAGGCTCAGTCTGGGGCCAGTTCTTCTCTGACCAGACCAAACCAGCAGTTCAACTCCAGGCTGCAGCAAAGTCAGATTGTGCAGAGGACTCTGACACTGATTCACACACACTGAGACCAGGGCTATTGCGTTAACTAGAACAATTAGCAACAAATATACAATTAATTAATTAAATAATTATTGCTTGAATAAAAGAAAAGTTAACTAAAAAAAAAAAAAAATCCAGGTAATTGCTAAGGCAACATTTATCATTTTCATTGAAGTACTGACATAACTAAAAAACTAATAAAAAAAACTGAAATAAAAACGATGAAGACTAATTTTTTGTTACTTGAAATAAAATAAATGTTAACTAAAATTTAGAATGTTACAAGTTAACATTTCTCATTTTTGTTGTACTAAAATATAGATTTTTTTAATTTATTAAATAAAGTACTAAAATCAGTAAAAATTCAAATTAATATCTACATACAAATATGACTGAAAACTGTAATAGTTTATTAACTTTACTAAAATATCACTGCTTCAAATAACACTGCTTTTGAGCAGATGTTTGTAAGTGTGATGAGATGTTCCTGGTGAGGTCTCACTCTGACTCAAGCGTCTGTCGCGGATCAGACGGACGTTTCTCTGCCTCTGAGGAGGCGCGCGTTAAAGCCGTTCTGGATTCAGAGCTGTTCTGCGTAAGATGCTCATCAGAATCAGATCCCGCTGACATTTGAGCAGGAGGACGTCTGAGAGAGAGTGAACGAGCACTTTCTGACGGCTGAACGCGCGTGTCCTCCACTAATTGTCATAAAGTCCTGCTGATCTCGCGCTCAGAGCCGCGTCTCGTCTCCTGCAGGAACTCACTTTCTGCTTCTCCTTTATTGCAGTTTATTCTAATGGGTAAAATGGTCGCATCTTTTAAACTCGGGAACTCATTTGACTTTTTTTGTTTCAACAAAATTCAGTCTGAAGGGCTGAATAATTAATAATAATATATTATGTATTTTTACAAAATATCTGAATTAAAATATATATGCATGTGTGTGTGTGTGTTAAAAATTAAAACATGTTTACAATATGATTTATTTATTATAAACATTTTAGTAAATATTGACAAATATTTTGATGTTTTATTATTATTATTATCAGCATCATTATTGTATCTTTATATTTCTATATTTTTATTTGTTTATTATAAATGGTATAAAAATATTTTAAATTGATAATTTTATATGTATTTATTATAACCTCAGTCTGGGGCCAGTTCTTCTCTGACCAGACCAAACCAGCAGTTCAACTCCAGGCTGCAGCAAAGTCAGATTGTGCAGAGGACTCTGACACTGATTCACACACACTGAGACCAGGGCTATTGCGTTAACTAGAACAATTAGCAACAAATATACAATTAATTAATTAAATAATTATTGCTTGAATAAAAGAAAAGTTAACTAAAAAAAAAAAAAATTCCAGGTAATTGCTAAGGCAACATTTATCATTTTCATTGAAGTACTGACATAACTAAAAAACTAATAAAAAAAACTGAAATAAAAACGATGAAGACTAATTTTTTGTTACTTGAAATAAAATAAATGTTAACTAAAATTTAGAATGTTACAAGTTAACATTTCTCATTTTTGTTGTACTAAAATATAGATTTTTTTAATTTATTAAATAAAGTACTAAAATCAGTAAAAATTCAAATTAATATCTACATACAAATATGACTGAAAACTGTAATAGTTTATTAACTTTACTAAAATATCACTGCTTCAAATAACACTGCTTTTGAGCAGATGTTTGTAAGTGTGATGAGATGTTCCTGGTGAGGTCTCACTCTGACTCAAGCGTCTGTCGCGGATCAGACGGACGTTTCTCTGCCTCTGAGGAGGCGCGCGTTAAAGCCGTTCTGGATTCAGAGCTGTTCTGCGTAAGATGCTCATCAGAATCAGATCCCGCTGACATTTGAGCAGGAGGACGTCTGAGAGAGAGTGAACGAGCACTTTCTGACGGCTGAACGCGCGTGTCCTCCACTAATTGTCATAAAGTCCTGCTGATCTCGCGCTCAGAGCCGCGTCTCGTCTCCTGCAGGAACTCACTTTCTGCTTCTCCTTTATTGCAGTTTATTCTAATGGGTAAAATGGTCGCATCTTTTAAACTCGGGAACTCATTTGACTTTTTTTGTTTCAACAAAATTCAGTCTGAAGGGCTGAATAATTAATAATAATATATTATGTATTTTTACAAAATATCTGAATTAAAATATATATGCATGTGTGTGTGTGTGTTAAAAATTAAAACATGTTTACAATATGATTTATTTATTATAAACATTTTAGTAAATATTGACAAATATTTTGATGTTTTATTATTATTATTATCAGCATCATTATTGTATCTTTATATTTCTATATTTTTATTTGTTTATTATAAATGGTATAAAAATATTTTAAATTGATAATTTTATATGTATTTATTATAACAGTGTAATCATTTTTATAAATTTGTTGACACACACACACACACACACATATATATATATATTGGCTTATTAATTTGCTTATTTTTACCCATTTATTTTTTTATTTATACATATATATGTATTTCTATTTATAACTATTTTTAGGGAAAATAAAATATTGTAAACATTTCATCAGAAGTGTAAATGAATTGAGGGCTGAAAGCACACTGATGTAGGATGTTGTTGTGGTGTGTTTGCTCAGGACTCTCAGTGCATCGACACGTCTCTTCTGGATCCGGCCAGTAACATCACCACACTGGCGCGTGTCTCTGTGTTTTCACTCATCTCAGCAGGGGTCTTATCTATCCCAGCATGCCGAGCGGCCAGACATGCCGCCCCACCCCTGCTCTCTCAATCCGCCTGTATTTGTATTTGTCACGGTCTCCGCTCACAGTTTTCCCAGCATCCTCTCCTGCTGCGTTTCTCTTCACGGAGGTGTAAATTTATCGGAGGAGCTGCTCGTGGAACCAAATAAACAAATCAAACCTTCAGAATCTCATATGAGGTGCTGGAAAACACACTCATTTAGGAAAACTGGTTTTAAAAACATCATTACGTGTTTCCAGACGTCCCGCCGTGACTGTTTATATGCTTGGAGACGTTTATTTGTTTAATTAAAATTTTGGTAACACTTTATTTTAAGGACCAATTCTCACTATTAAAGGGTTAGTTCACCCAAAAATGAAAATTAGCCCATAAATTACTCACCCTCAAGTCATCCTAGGTGTATATGACTTTCTTCTTTCAGACGAATCCAGTCGGAGTTATATAAAAAATTGTCTTTGATCTTTCAAGCTGTTTAATGGCACTCAGCGGGTGACCTACAACATGGCTAAACTATATACGTATATATATATATAACATTATAACATTTTCAAATAATTTGTTCACTTGTTCAAATTTTAGTTTTGTTTTGCTTTTTACATTTATTTAATATATCGTTATTATTTAATATATAATGTGCTGTGATCGGTTAGCTGGGCCAGTGTGTGTTGTGATCGGTTAGCTGGGCCAGTGTGTGCTGTGATCGGTTAGCTGGGCCAGTGTGTGCTGTGATCGGTTAGTTGGGCCA